CACCATGTTTCTAAGTTTACAGAGCAGACTGGGTTTTAAAGATATTTTGAAGCCTACACAGTGCATAATCTATTCCTTTAACTTTTCAAAGGTTCCTTCTGATACGTCACACGTTTCTGAGTAGGAATCACGTACAAATTACTTGGGTTAGAATTGCTACTCTCGTGAGTTTTATGTTCAAATTTTCAGTTTCTTATTTCTTTGCAATAGTGAAAGAGTTAATCTCACATCTAAATGGGAGTTTGCCCTTAATAAGAAAGCATTAAAGCAAGCCAAGAATAATAATCTAAATGAAGGCCATTCTTTTGCCTTTTGTCAATATTTTCATAGCGACAAACAGATCAAACACATGATATTTTTTAAGGCTTGTATTTTTTCCCTCTTTGTAAATCATAAATGCTTTGGTATATTTAATTTCAAAATGAGCTCCCTGGAGATTAGGCTAACATGATGGATTAAAAAACCTTCAGAAACTATTGCATTTTAGATGGAAAAATACACAAAATGTTCGTTTGCTGCTTCCCCCAGCTCATTTGCTGGCTGTTTCTCTTTCTCCTACACCTAAAAGAACCAAGCTGTCTGCATTAATCAGAAAAGTTTCATAGTCTTGCTCTCAGACTTCAAAATGCTTTAGCACTTTTTTTCTAATTAAATTAAAGATTTAAGACTATATTCAGAGGAAAGTACTCAAGAGCCCAAATATTTTCTGTGCTACACTGATTTGGCATATTCATGTGGGAAGAGGTAGAAAACTCACTCCTGCGCTATGAATTCAGGCCTTGAAAAGCACAGGGAATGCTCGCATCTTGTGACAGTCTGCACAAGTACTACTTGAAATGTTTTTGAAGATCCAAGAGCTTGTTACTCATAAATTTTCACTGGTTTTAAACAGCCTTTCTTAACAAAGATAGAAGACACTTCTCACTGAGCTGCATTTGTAAGACTTGACTAACTCATCCATGCAAAAGCATAAGGACAAAAGCATAAGGACAACAGTCCAGGCATGGAAAATATTAATCTTGCTTGTCAGAGGGGATTTATTTGGTGGACTTGAAAGTCCTTTCTCCTATCCTTCTGTCCTTATCATTGCACACCACTGGATGGCTCCTGAATGATCAGTATAGCTCTTAACAAAAGGAGCTGGGAAAGGCTTTTTCCCCCACTAGGTAAGTTCCTTCCCTGGAAAAGGCTTTTGTATAAACTGTGAACTCCGGTCCAATTGCAGATGGAAGTGAAGGAAGTGGTGGCAATGAGACGGCCCAGAAGTCTGCCTGGACAGAGTGACTACCAAAGCCTCAATCCAGACAGGGAACCTGGTGGGACCACCTCCTCTTTCATGCAACAGAGAACAATTTTAAAAATAGAAGCAAAAGTGATAGGACAAGCTTCTTTTTGAAGAGTCATCCAGCTGGCCTTGAGCAGCAGTGATGCTTACTAGCATGAGACAAGCTCATACAGAAGAGCCAATGAGGAGGCCTTGTGATCACCCCTTTCCTGTGTGATGTGAGCACAGCCAGCACCGAGTCAAAGTCAAAGTGTGTCCTCTGGAAACTGCCGCAGTGGTAAGGACAGAGACAAACCACTGGCAAATGGCACCCAAGGTTTTAATGGATTTCTCAGAGAAACAAAAGTGTCAGAGAAACAAAAGCTTCAAAAGTTTATGAATTTCAGCTTTAGCAAGGACACAGTTTTCAGTACTTACCATAAATGTAAAACAATTGAAGTGTTTTGTTGTTTTGGTTTTTTTTGCTGTGTTTATTTTGGAACTGGCTATTTTTAAGGTCACAGTCCCTGCTAAGGGAGGAAACTGTATCTCTAGGGTATTGGGAATTAAACAGAGGAAAGAAAAAGGCACAGAGAAAGTAGCTGCCTTTACACAGAGAGCTCAAATGTTTTGTTTCCTTCCTTGTTCGGTCTGTAGTAAAACAGAAAAAAGAACTTTACAGTAAACACTGAATCATGCATTTAAAAAAAAAATTCTGATTTTGACAAGATTTCTTTTTTAACTTTTTCCCTCCTGGAATCCCTTCTGATAAACTGCAGCATAAAGGGACACTATCACTTCTCGACTAATTTCTATCACTTCAAAGGTTAGGCTTACCACTCTCCACTGTGGTGACTTCTGTAATGGGTCAAGCCAACTATCTCATGTAGTGTCCTACTTCGGAGATACGAACAAGGAGGTAAAGAAGGTAGCAAATGTTTCCACAGTCTTGGAAAAGCCAGCCAAGACAGAAATCAGCTACTGCAGAGGGCATGAATTGCACTGACACCACGCTTCTGTGCCAGAAATGAAACTGCTGCTGAAGGAATGTGCAAGAGAGGAAGGGACTGAGCAAAGAGAGAGGCTGTGAAGACAACCAAGCTAACTACATGGTAGTTAAGTGCAGAACTTTACACCTATCAGCTCTGCCCGTGCTTTAGGAGGTCACAACAGATGTTACCACAACAAAGCTACACTGCATACTTGACAAAAAGAATTCTAGTGTTAGGAGTTAAACTCTGGAGTGTTAGGTGTTAAGTAATGCAAAGCAGGATCAATGCCAGCAGTGATATGAAAATAAGCTTCATAACTTAATTGCTCATTTGCAAAATACCAATGTTATTTATTTAAGCTACTATGACCTTTTTTCTGATGCACTAGTAATGTAATGTTCATGTGTGGCTGTCAGAAGAGCATCATGATAGAATACTAATACCTTAGATCAGGAGTTGCCCAATTTATTTTGCTGCAGTGGTACCCTTACAGAAATAGAGCTACAGCTCTACCACTGTGCTACAGAGTAGTACTCACTGTGCTACTACAGCTGTGCCTCACTGAGACAGGGATTACAGATGTTTCCAATTCTAACCCAGGCTCTGTATTTGCATTGGATGCACTTCTCAAATGTCTTTTTCTCACGTGTGAACCACAAGAAATACATCAATATTTTGGAAATCCCTCTTCTTAGCTAGCCTCTGTTCTTCAGCTTGCATCCCAGATTACGGTATGTCAGGTCCCCTGTTCCTACTGCCAAGAGCATCATTTTAAGGTTCGTAAGATGCTTTCCATGGCTCTACTTAGACAGATAAAGCACATACAGGCAAGGAACTCCATGTGCACAGCAATTCAGAGGATACATAATGTCCACTAGAGTGAGGTAGGGAACATTGTGACTAATACAAAATCAGAAGGCTAGGAATTGTAGGAAGAAACTCTCGTGCCTTAACAATGGTACAATGCTAGACATAATCTGTTCTTTACTGCTTTTACAAAAAAGTCAGTAATAAGACGCAATCATTAATCATTAATCAGAAGTCTCTACTTGCTATTTTGGCCCAGTGTGGGTAAAGAACACCAATGAAGCGTAGCAGTTATCAAAACAGGAGATGAAGAGAAATTCTGGAAAAGGGTGAGGTGAGTAGATACTTGCACAAGAGTTCTGCACAGAGGAAAAGTAAGGAAGAATTTATCCAAATGTTTCTTAAATAGAGCTATTTTGCTTAAAGACCTGGGCTCTCTAACTCACACTCAAGCATCTTCTACCTGCCTATACTCAATTTATCTTTAGGTGATATCTACATGTTCATACGCAGAATACATACTTGCACCCGACCTTTCAGAGACATAAAAGTGGCATAGCTTTTTCTCTTAATCACCCGTATATATTATGTAATATACTTTAATGTAAGTATGTAAAAATACAGATCAGAAGTAGTGTAAAGGGAAAAAAGTTTGACCTCTCCATCCCTTTTAAACACATCAGAAGGCTTTAATATAGTCAAGCTACACTGTTAGCTGTATTAACACAATCAAACCTTCCCTGAGGTGTAAAGGAACTGCGCATGCTAGAATGAGAGACTAGTACACTTAAGAACTAACAGTATTAAAAACCATATGGTTACCATATTAAAAATTAAGCCTTTAAGAGTTCAGGAAGGAGATCAAAAGCCTGTAAAGCATATTTAGATAGTGAATACATAACTATTAGATTTCTGTTGTGGAACCAGCTTTATTTAAAATTAGCTGTATAGCAGCCAATACATAGTTCTGAATGCAATGAGAAACTCCTAAAGCAGATGAAGTTATTCAGTAGAGTTTGACTATAAGACTATTCTTCCTGACATGCAGAGGAATGTAGGCTTACCAAAAAAGATGTAACAGAAACATCAAATAATTAATTCTGAAAGAATGTGGAAAGATACAAAGAGCATTGCGTGTCATTTGACCAAAACCAGAACACAATGCTGAAGTGCTGTGAAGTTTTCTAGAAGTTTAGGATGTGGCAGGATGTTCTAATTAAGTATAACTGTACTGAGCAGTGATGAGGCTGCATCTTGAATAACGTGTTTAGCTTTGGGCCACTCGCTACAAGAAAGACGTTGAAGCCCTGGTGTATGACCAGAGAAGGACAACAAAGCTGGAGGGGTCTGGAGCAGAAGCCTTACGAGAAGCACCTCAGGGAACTGGGATTGCTCAGTCTGGAGAAGAGGATGCTCAGGGAAGACGTTATTACTCTCTACAACTACCTGAAAGATTGTAGTAAAGTGGGAGTTGGCCTCTTCTCCCATGTGACTAGCGATAGGACAAGAGGTAACAGCTGTAAGTTGTGTCTGAGGAGGTTCAGGTTGGATATTAGGAAAAATTTCTCAAAAAGTGGTGAGGTATTGGAACAGGCTGCCCACGGAGGTAGGAGTCACCATCCCTGGAGGTTTTCAAGGAAGGGGCAGATGTCGCATTGAGTGACATGGTTTATGGTGACGGGTTGACAGTTGGACCGCATGATGCTAGTGGTGACTTCAACCTTAATGATTCTATGATTCTACACTATCTTTCAGGAATGTGCTGGTTTTTATTCTCCAGTTTTCTGGCAGCATGAACACTGCACAAAATGTAAATGGCTTGTGTTTTTAGCAATGTTTCTTAAAAGTATACTTCAACTACGAAGGAGCAGAAAAAAAATCTGCTCATGTGAAGGACCATGCTCTCAACTCTTAGTGGACTTTGGAGACTGACTTACCAAAATGAGTCTGTTTGGAGTCATGGTACTTCTCAGTCTCTCTTATTAGCTCTGAATCATATCTGGAAAGACTACCAATAGGCAGATTCTGGTTTGCATCTTATCAGTGAACCTAAAAAAAAGAAAATAATTTTGTTCAGAATCACTTTTATTCTCCATGTCTCCAGAAACCTAAGAAATGTAAAACTTAAGTAGTGATATATTTGAAAATTCCACTGAGCTGTTAAAGATAACATCCCAACTCATAATTGATTTCATACAAGATGGAAGGCAATTTTAAGATAAGGTCTAATCTATAAGAGCTTTTTAACCATAACATTTAGAGCTCAGGTTATATTCAGGCATAAGTCAGAATCTTGCTTATTTTTCTCTTGTAAGATGTTTTTCCAGTGATATGCTGATTAAAAAAAAAAAAATATATATATATATATATATATATATATAAAAATATTCATTACTTAAAAACCTGGAAAAATGTCAATTTCTGAATTCTAGACTCTCACTATAACTATTTCAAACACTCTCCCTTGTGGAAGAAGGTACTCAAGAACAGCATAGCTCATGCACTTTTACACTAACAAGAGGACTGTAAGAAAAGCAAAAATCTGTAGTTTTTTGTGTGAGTCAGGTGAGCATGCAGCACAACAGGCTAAGGCATCAAAATACTTATGCTATACAGTCTTGACGCATTAATTGTCCAGTCCACTATTTAATAAAATCTGTATGAGTGAAGAATCTGAGTGAAGAATCTGTATGTGTTGATAACCAAATCGTGAATCCTCTTCTCTCCAAAACACATTAGACTTCATATAAAGAATAAAATATTCTGATGATCTCTGCAACAAGTATGCAATTTACACATTCTGGCTTTCATAAACTGTTTTCTTACTGCTAGAAGATTCAGGCACAAGTATCTGAAGTACAGAAATTCTGTTGCATTCCATGCAATAAATCAGCTGGTGGGAAAAAATCACCTACCTTCTACACTATGTCTTGTTAACTAAGAATAATCCCAAACTCCCTTTCAGAACTGTTCAGAGGTTGTATCATAACTGCCCAGCACATTTAATAATACATCACTGAGTTGCAAAATCCAATTGTAGAGACAAAAATGTTTGCTATTTATGTAATTACTTCAAACATCCAAGCAAAAATAAACCTGCCCCTATTAGAAAGTTGTTGTGAAGGTAATTTCAGTTTCAGGAAACTGGAACTACACTTGATAAGCAAGGACACACTACAATAATGGTGTTTTCCATCATCTTCAGGTCTGTAAAGGTGCTGGGAAAAACAAACAAAAAATCTTGCTTCAAGGAATAACCCAGTGCCAATATCTACAATGAAAAAAATCTAACAATCTACGAATTAATTTGTGTTCAAATATGGTATCCTCCTTTTTCTGAACTCTCACTTTATACTTCTTCAGAATGTTATACAGAAATGCATTTTCTCATTCTTCCTTTGTGAGAGCTGTTAAAAAAAAAAAAAAAAAAAAAAAAAAAAGGCTGCTGGCAGAAGTGGAATGGAAACCAACAGTGAAAAAGATGTAAATGTCATTGATAAAACATCTTCTAATTAAGAAGCAAAGCACACCCATGATGGAACCTGATTTGTTTTTTACTACTTTTAAAACTTCACAACTTTCAAATTTCAAATAATAACATGATTACTCTTCTGCTAGGGAAACACAGCTTTTTAACATATCGTCAGTGAGGTTGCTGTGTTATTCATATATTCTACATTCTTTCAATCTTTCCTAAGGTCTTTCCTTACGGACATTAAGGTACGGCTCATTAAAAAAAATCAGGTGGGACTCGCTGTCTTAAAGGAAAAAGTTTAAATTACACTACACCAGCAAAATGCAACCACTCATATTTCTTTTTCTCATGTTTCTGTGCTCCTAAGGACATAAATAGTATTAATAAAATACCCTAAGTAGCAGCTCCTATTGTTATTCACCAAAATACCTAAAAAAGAAATTTGATGCAGCCCACAATAGCTTCAAATAATTCACAATTAGCCTCACTTTGTCTTTCAAGTCAAAGGAAGTGTATCAGGATCCTGAGTTCTAAGACGCAATTTATTACACGTTTTACTAAGTACTTTCTGTTGCAAGTACTGAATTGGCAAAACATTTTTTATTTCTCAAAGCAGTGCACTGAAAGCACACACATGAATTTAAAAAAAACGTTGTTCACACAATAAAGATATGTGTGAATTCAGCGTCTCCCCCCATTCAGACACACATCTGTATATTCCTTAGCTGGACTCTGGCAGTTGTTTAGGAACAGTTCTCTCTGCAGGGTGCTTTGCTATGATTTGATTTTTAAGGGAGAAGTGGTATTTAGTCTTGCTAATTACATTTTCCAGAAAGTGCTTCTGACACATTCTTTCCCTCCTCAAAATCATTTTTATGATTATCAGTACAAACTGAGCTCCTAAGAACAGACTGTTTTCTAAAAGTTCATCAGGTTGAACAGGCCAAAATGGAATCCATTTTCTTTTCTTCATATATATTTTTTCCTATGATGGACAAAAAATTCTGTAAATCCATATTCCAGACATTGCTCAATTATCTTTTATGAATAGTATTTTTGAAAGATAACGTAGAGTAAAATAAACAACAACTTTCTAAATTATAAATAATAAATTAGAAAAAGATAATCAATACTTGGCTTCCACCATCAAGCCCATCAACTCAAACTGCTTTGTTTCTATAAACAAAGAAGTTTTATTCCACCAGTAATGAGAATCCGGTGTGAGCCTAATCCTTCATACAGAGAATGTCCTGCCTTTTAACCCAACTCTCAAAGCCAGCTGTGCCCTGGTTACCTCCTTCACATGCCATGTGTCCTACAGCCTCTTAATTACAACTCCTTGCTTTCCCTAGAAATGATGGTGACAGTGTTCACACTGTATTTCGTGTGCCTACAAACAACAAGTGCTCATTTCACATATTAAAGGTTTACTTCAGTTGTAAACACAACCTACGCATTGTAATACTGTTGGGATTTCCCTTTGCTTCACTCTATCAGGAGCTTTACTATATCACTACACATGGCAACCGATGTAAACTCATCTGCGCACATACACATCCATAAAATATGTGTTCTATGTGTTTACCCTCTGAAATACAAATTAAGGAAATGTTGTTGCTGACAGCCTGCTCTTTTGTCTGCGCATTACTACCAGGAGAACAACGCACAGTGGATTTCAATCAGAAATTAAAAAGAGAAATATTCTGTATATTTCCCTTTCTTCATATGCACAACTAAATCAGGTGTGTCTTCTCGTACTCATGCAGATAGATACTGCTTTCATATAGTTATAAATAATCACCAGAAGAAATTAGCAGGGAAAAAACATAAAAAGCCTTACTACTCTTGTTTATTTATGCACTGTGTTTCAAAGTACTTTTTCCTCTCGTAAGTCAACTAGTTAGGCACTGTTTGAAAGAAACAGCAACAGGAAAAGAAAGCAAGGCTTGGAATTATTTTCTCAAAGAAACAAAAAGCAAACTAAAACAGAGAACAATATTCAGTGTTATATTAGAAATGATATACCAGATTCTACCAGCTGGAGGAAAAATGGCAAGCTAAGCAAATCCCTTTACGTCTCCCATTTTGTTAATTCTTCACAGGCATATCTACCTACACAAGACTTAAGCTGAAATCCCGTTTAATCTCTCCCTAGACCATCCAGGAGACATCCTATTTAAATATGTTCTCATTTTCTTCACGTCGTGTTATGTGTTTCTTCCCTGGGAGTGCAGTGTATTGGCCTGAGAGGGTAATGCAGGTAACATTTAATATGTAATTGTACAGTAATAGTAGCATTTATCAACTCTGAGTTCCACTGGCACTATTAATTCTCACAGAATATACCCATGTAACTGAGGCCACATATTCTGAAACTCTGAAAGCACTGCAAACCATTTGTAACACCAAACAGAAAGGGAGTGAATTCAAGAGCAGGCATCTGCACAAAGACCAGTGACTAAAATGAGTCTGTGTCCTGGTTGCAAGAGCTGCCGTTAGCATTTTCTCTCACCTTCCTGATAATACAGCATTTCATAATCACAAAGGAACAAGAAAGAAAAAACGAACTACCTATAAAACACTCTGGAGTTTCCCCTTCAGTGGCATCTAATACTGCTGTTGTAATTTTTACACTGAACATTCATTAATTCAACAGTAAAACAATGGAATAATCATGGAGTATAAAGGAAAAAAATTTTGTTTTGATTTTCTTTGTACAATCAGCGTAAAAATAATCCTCTGGGCAGACACACTAGGCACTAACATATTCATCTAGCTCCAAGGATCTAGATTACATATGTAAACTAAATGATGTATCAACTAATGTTTCACTAAATGCAGGTATAACCACAAAAAAACCCAGAAACTCTCTATAAAAATAGAGAGAATTCAGTTTACAAAAAGATCACCCTCTGCTTTTTACTAGTTAGTGGCACATGCTGCTTTAGCCTGAAATATTATTATATTTTTCAGAACATTACACTGAGTTCAGTGGCTGCTTTATCATATGCATTCTAGCTCATTCCAGCACATGTCACTGGAATAGCATGATACAAATCAAACTTGCATTCTCACCTGTACTCCTTAAATTCTCCTGAACTATACTGCTGTCTTGAAAAAGTACAATGCATGGGATAAATTCAACAAACTCTGCACTATTCACCACTAACAGCACACAGGAGTAACCTGAAAAGTTTAGATGTATGAAGAAATTCACACATCTGAATGGGTCCTCCACATCTCAGAGAGGTTTACCCTGACCAGTCACCAAAAAGATACCAAATCCTAGTCAACAGAAAAATCTATGTGTCTTTGCTACAAGTGCATCTGTTGCCCAAATCCATTTTCCAGTTCCACTGCCCAGACGGATGAGCTGTGCTTGCCTACCTGTTGGTCTATATGTCAGCCTCTTGGCCTCTGTTCTTCGTGAAGGTCACAGACACCAACACTCCACCTAAAGCATGTCCTCAACTTATTATTAGTGTCCTCAACTTATTATTAGTGGCCCAAGTAGGATGCATACAGAAATGAGCTATGGCAGGTGGCTCAGAGAACAACTTCACACACACCACGC